GAAGGGTCTTGTCTCAAAACGTCAACATTCCTGCTCCTCTGATGCCTGGCCTGATGTGTTCCTCCAGCTCCACACTGTGTTATCTCTGACTCCAGCATCTGCAGTTCTTACTATCACACAGGGATATAGTGTTCTGGAGCATGAGTCACAAAAAAGTTGGTATACGGGTACAGTGCATAAGCAAAAAGACTAATGGGATGCTATCTTTTATTTTGAGAAAAGCTGAACATAAAACTGAGGACATTTTGTTTCAATTATATAGGTCTTTGGTAAGATCATGTCTTGCAAACTTTGTAATAAAACAAAGAACTGTGAATGCTGAAGATCCAGATCAAAACCAGAAATTGATGGAGAAAGCTAGCAGGTCTGGCAGCATCTGTGGACAGAAAGCAGAGTCAATGTTTCAATTCCAGTGAACCTTCTACAGAACTCTGTTTAAGGAAGGAATTGAATTGAATTAGCCTTTATTGTCATGTGGCTGTAAATGCATTGGAGGATGTTCAGAGAAAGTTCACTAGGTTGATGCCTGGATGAGTGGGTTGTCTTACAAGGCAAGACTGGACACACTGGGCTTGTTTCCACTGAAAGTTAGATGAGTGGGGGGTGATTTGATTGAAGTAAATGGTCTTGACAATTGGAAGTGGAATGGATGTTTCCTCTTGTGGGCGAGTGCAAAACTAGAGGTCATTGTTTCAATTTAAGGGTTTCTCTATCAGGACAGAGATGAGAACTTTTCTTTCTCTCTTTGATAGTTTTGTGACTTTGGAACTCTCTGCCTCAGAAGGGAGTGAAGGTGGGGTCATTGAATATTTTTAAGATTGAGGCACGTATTCAAATTTTTTAGGGTGGCGTAGTGGCTCAGTGGATAGCACTGATGCCTCACAGTGCCAGGAACCCAGGTTTGATTCTACCCTCAGGTGACTGTCTGTGTGGAGTCTGCATGTTCTCCTCATGCCTGTGTGGGTTTCGTGTGTCTGCTCTGGTTTCCTCCCATGGTCCAAAGTTGTGCAGGTTTAGTGGATAGATCATGTTAAATTGCCCTGTTGCATTCAGGGATGTGCACTCTAGGTGACTTAGCCATAGAGAATGCAGGGTTATGCGGATAAGGTGGGGGGCAGGGTCTGATGGGATGCTCTTTGGAGGATCCTTGCTGACTTCATGGGCTGAATGGCCTCTTTCCACACTGTAGGGATTCTTTGATTGTAGAGCTGGATGAATTCATGTTTGGTAAGGCAATTAAGGAGACAGATTGGAATGCAGAATTGTAACTGCAAACAGATCAGCCATGATCTTATTGAATGGTGGAGCAGGCTCAATTGGCTGAATAGTCTCCTTATAGATACTGACAGCACAGAAGGAAGCCACTCAGCCTACTATGTCTGCATTAGTCAACAAAGATCTGACTACACTATTCCCTTTATTCCAGCTTGTGACCCATTGCCTTGATAGCAGGTGAATATTAAACAACTGCTTCAATGTTATGAGAATTTCTGATTCCACCACACATTCAGGAAAAAAGTAGCCTCTTGAGGAAAGAATTGCTCCTCAACTCTCCTCTTAGCTTTCTGCTTCTTAAATCTATCACCCTTACCTACTGTGCTCTCTACCAATGGAATAAGTGCCTTCCAATCCACCCTATCTATATACCTCATAATCTTATACATCACTATCAGGTTACCTCTCATCCTTCATTGCTCCAAGAAAAACAACACAGTGCAATGAATTTTTCCTCATAGCTCAGACCCTCCAGCCCGGGTAGCATCGTGGTAACTCTCCTTTACATCCTCTCTCCTCCTACTTCTCCTTATGTTATATGTGACAGAGAGTGAGTCATGATGACAGAAACTAACTTTTCCATTTCAATGTGTGTAATGTGTGTAATGTGTGACGGATTCATTAGTTTGCATGTTCCTTTTGAGCAACTCTATTTTTTTGTTGTTGTGTTCTTTCATGGGATGTGAGCAGCACTGATAACTTGCTGCCAATGAGGTGGTAATGATGAGCCACGTTCTTGAAATGTCACTGTTCATACTGTTGCAATTTGATATATTTGAGTGCCTTGCTCAGCCATTTTAGAGGGCTATTAAGAATCAAGCACATTGCTCTGAATTTAGAGTCATGTGGCTGTCCTTTAGCAGGAAGAATAGAGGAGCTGAATATTATTTAAATGGAGAAAGACTGCAGAAGGCTACAGAACTGAGGGATTTTGTGAATCACAAACAGCTAATATTCACATTCAGTGGTAAGGTAAATGGTACATTGGCCTTTATTTCAAAAGACTGAAATAGTTTATGTCTTTTCTTCCTTGCAGCACCGTAGGCTGAGTAGTGACCTTACAGAGGTTTATAAAATCATGAGGGGAATGGATAGGGAGAATAGCCAAGGTCTCCAAGGATAGAAGAGTCCAAAACTAGAGGGCATAGGTTTAATGTGAGAGGGGAAAGAGTTAAAAGGGACCTGAGGGGCAACCTTTTCATGCAGAGGGTGGTGCATGTATGGAATGAGTTGTCAGAGCAGGTGGTGGAGGTGGGTACAATTACAATGTTAAAAGATATCTGGATGGATATATGAATAGGAAGGGTTTAGAGAGATATGGGCCAAATGCTGACACGTGGGACTAGATCAGTTTAGGATATCTGGTTGGCACAGACGAGTTGGGCCAAAGGGTCTGTTTCTGTACTGTATAACTCTATGACCCTATGAATGGACTATAAAACTAGGGCAGTTTTGCTAAAATTGTACAATTACAAACTCATCAGACCGCAGCTGGAATACTGTGAACAGTAAGGAAAGGTATTCTGTCATTGGAGGCACTCCAGAGAAGCTTCACTAGGCTGACATAAGGTATGGAGGGACAAGTTTATGAGAAGAACTTGCATAGATTGGGCGTGTACTCTTTGGAATAATGAAGAATGAGAGTTGACCTCAATGGAACATAGAAGATTCTTAGAGAACTTGGTAGAGTAGATGCAGGAAATTTGTTTCCTCTCGCGGAAGAGTCTAGGACCAGAGGGTATAATCTCAGAGCAAGGCAATCACATTCTAAGACAGAAATGAGGAGAAATTTCTTCTCTCAGATGGTCATGAACCTGTGGAATTATTTACCACAGAAGGCTATAGAGTTTGGGTTGTCAAGGCTGAGATTTTTATTCAGTTAGGGAACCAAGGGTTATAGAGCAGGAGAGGGAGCAGAAGAGGGAGTTGAGGGTTTTCAGATCAGTTGTTATCTCATTGATTGGTGGAGGAGACATTATCGGCTGAACGGCCTATTTCTGCTTCTATGTCTTATGGATTGCGTAAGACGACATATTTCCTTCCCTCAAAGACTTTAGTGAATAGAGTAGACTTATGGAGTACTAGTTTAGTGACATGACCATTGCATCACAAACTGCTATCACTTAGGCCTAAGATCAAAAATCCATTCGGTCGAATGGCTCAATCGCACTTCACTCGTTTCCTGAAATCCAGCAAAGCATGGGAACAGTTCACCCAGGTCCCATCCTGTAAGTTACTTGAGCATCCGTTCGACTGCTTACAATCGTCTTCATTGGTTTCTGGCCTGAGGGGACTCTCGGCGACCCACCTCCTAGACACATTCAAACTGCGCACCTACCTTGAATTTATGCTTCATAAACTCTCTTCCTGCTAGCCATTGTGCAATGCTCAAAACCACTTGAGTTCCTCGCTGTGTCTAGGCCCGAAACGTCACCTTTCCTGCTCCTCTGATGCTGCTTGGCCTGCTGTGTTCATCCAGCTCTACACCTTGTTATCTCAGGTTCTCCAGCATCTGCAGTTCCTACTATCTCTGAGTTCCTCGCTGTACTGAGGGAGGGCCACTCGACCCGAAACTTTTATTCTGATTTCTCTGCGCAGATGCTGCCAGACGTGCTAAGCTTTCCCAGCAATTTCTGTTTTTGTCCCTCAGCTATTCTGGTAACGCAGAACGCCAGTTACCTGGTTGTAGGTTTCTCTGGAGGTACGCCCTTGTGTGAAATGGACTGAACCGCTTGATCAAATTACGGGCTGGCAAATTACTTCTTGCCAGCCACATTCACACCACCCCTCCTTCCCCCACACCCCACCCTCAACAACACAACTCAAGTGGAGTCAGCCCAACTTCACCCTCCATCTAAAGTTGCATCTCACCGGCACAGTGTATCACCGTGACTCTCTTGAGTCTTTCCCCATTCGATGCGGCTGGTGATCCAAACAACCCTGCAACGCAGCAATTGCACTGTGGGACATATTTGCACCCCAGCAAAGCTTACACTGATACTTCATTTCATAAAGGAATCTTTGAGTGCAAAGAGACGGGAGGTATATTACAGCCCCGCACCCCCCACAACACCCCGTATCTCTATTAAGGCAGCTTACCTGCATTTTTTTTTCGGTGATACGTGCCACTGATCACTAAAAAATCAATTATTTTTTTTGTTCCCTCACACACACAGCATTGATTTGCTTGTTTTTTTTTAAAACCACAGGCGATGAATACCTCTCTTCAGTTGACAACCTGTTCTCAGAGTGTGAGGTACAGTAAACAGGTCTGCACCGCCTCTCGGCACACGAGTCGTTGAACCTCCCCTGCACCTCCAACACCCTTTTGTCTTCAAGGTAGAAAGTGTCCGCCTTCAGAGAATTCGATATTTCTTTCGGGAGTGAGGTGTAAGGAGTGTCAGAAGAGCGGGCTCTCAGTGTGAGAGACTCCCTCCCCCCCCCCCCCAACTCCTGATTTCCTCAACACACCGCTTTGTGCTGCTGGAGAGATTCAGTGACAGTTTCCCTCCATGTTTCGACTGAAACAGTGTGGTGACCAAAAGTCGGTTTCCGAAATCTTTTCAGTCACTGAGGCAATCTTGCGAGGGGCTGCTTCGACCACAACAATCCTTTTCTCGCTTGACTAAGTAACGCTGAGGGGAATCTGTACCTGCATTGTCCCAGTGTCAGACAATCCCCTGCCCCTCCTGCTTTCATTTTGAGTCAGACGTTGAGGCACCTACCTGCTTCTCATTTCTTGCATCGGAAGGAGTTGGGGCAGGGAGATGGGAGTGCGGGTGATGGACGAGATAATCTATTTTCCACACTTAGCCTCTCTCCCCCTCCAGCTGGGATAGAACTTGTGACTGTCTTGCTAAGCCTCAGCTGCAGAGTGGGAGCTTAACCCAGTTAATGAGGCATTGGGGAGGGACTGAATGAGACTTTCTTTAATCGCTGAGGTGGAATCCCTCTGGATGAGGATTCAGCTTTGCGCCTTCAAGATTTTCATCCACGTTTCTGTTTTGTTTTATTTCCAGGATGTAGCATCGCTGGACTAGGCCCGCCTTTTATTGCCCATTCCTAATTGCCCAGAGGGCAGTTATGGGTCAGCTACATTGCCTTAAGTCTGGAGTCATATGCAGGCCAGACCAGATAGGGACTTTAAAAAACGAAAAGACTGAGGATATTGTAAATCAGGAACAAAAACAAAGTTGCTGGAAAAGCTCAGTAGGTCTGGCAGCATCTGTGAAGGAAAAAAAAAGTTAACGTTTCGGGTCCGGTG